TTAATTTCTGACACCTCATTTGAGTAATGCTAACTGTACAGTGTGTTTGCAGGATCAGAGCTCTAGGAGTATTGGGCAAACATTTAAGCCTGTGATAATCACTTTTACTCAAAAGGGTAGTGCTGCTCATTTGCATCATTGTTTGCAAAATTGCACTCCCATTTGCTGAGCTTTACGTGGTCAAAAGATACATTATTATCATCAATGTGGCATGTTGACTCAAGCAGGAACACGGAACTGAGAAATAGGGAAATGAATTTTAGACAAATAAAGCACAGAAGTCGGCATGTAATATTAGGAAACATTGCAAAAGTCTCCAACTGTACATGCTTTTCAAATTCAGTGACATAATCCCTTATAAATCTGGCAGTTACCTGAGTTGTAAAGGTCATGGTTGGTATTACTCCCTTTAAAGTAAGGAGAGGCTTCACGTTGCTCTGCGTTAGCCAGGGAGCCGTGCTATTGAACTTGGCAGAGCTCCACCAGCACACGTCTGGTCCATTATACCTCCCCTGCCCTCCCTTCAGGAATGGTTTGTCCTTGTGAAGTGATGGCAAAATAATCACTATTTCGTCTGTTGGATGTTTAGCAAACTAATATGAGAAGGTCAACATGATGGCTACAAATTGAGATCGGATTAACAGTCTTTCTTAAATTACAGCACAGCCATTCTAGCCAGGGTATTTCAGTAATCTCTTCCACTATGACTGTAGATACAGGTAACAGAGGAACTGCTTGCATCAGTTTCCTGAGCAGCTTCAGTGTCAAAAAGCATACTTTTGCTGCCATAAGTTCATACCCAGTAGTGCTTTTCCTATTGTAGAAATACTGTGAAACTATGGCACTTACACAGACCTTTTCCTAGTGACAGAGTTTCCGCTATAGATCCACCTGTCTCTTATACACATCTTCCAGCACCCGCCGCGGCCGCAGTCCCCGGTGCAACCGGCCCACCCGAACCTCCCTCCGGTGCAACCCCATCCGGCCTCTCAGAGCCTCTCGCAGCCACTCTCTGCCTATAACAGCAGCAGTTTAAGCCTCAACAGCTTAAGGTAGGCGAACAGAGCCGTGCACGCTGAAGGCCCGTGTCTTCGCAGACCTGGTGCTGATGCTTTACTGTGCCTGGAGGGAGCAGAGATGAATTAGCTAAAGGAGAGAAGTGACAGCACATCCCATCCCATCACTGGGAAATAAAGGGGACTTGGTGCATTTAACCTTAATTCCTTCACTGAAATAAGTCAGGATCACACGATTTCTGATCTAGCATTCCCAGAAACATGAGGTATTCTCCAGTGCTTCGTTAATTTGCTTTTACTTCTCCTGCCTGTCATTGCCTACTTGGGTTTTTAGAGGAGATTTTGTGCAATATAGACCAGGAACGAAAAATTCCAATTCTTGCAGGTTGAGCAGCTCTCTGAAGGCTAACCTCTTTTACCCTCCCATCCCTGTAAACATCTTCTGCTTTCTCCAACTGCTGACATCCCCTAGAGCAAAAAGTATGGTGCAGCTGCTGCTGGCCCTGCTGACAGCCTAGCACCAACGGTCTGGCACCATTGACTTCAAAGCTTCATTTTTTCCTGCACTGCTGACACCTTGCAGTCCTCAGTGGTTTTCTCTTCACCCGGTCACAGTGAGATAAGCCTCACCTTTTATAGAGGGATAACAAAGACAAACAGAGAGATTAAACAGCATGTTCACAGGAACCTGTGATGTCTCTGTGAATCAGGGACCTCGGGTTTCCCCTGCTCTAAGCTAATGCTGTCAGCACTAGGTCATCTTTTCCCAAATCTGAGCCTCCATCAGGCAGATGGTGTCCTTCAAGACCTGGTGAACCAGCATTATGGTGGCTTCATGGTTTGCCTAAAGACTAGGAGGTGTTTAAGACTTTGATTTATTTTTAACCAAGTTGGTATTGCTTGTCTTCGAAAGTCACTGAAATAGAAGCATGTCATTACTTGAAATAATGACAAGTGGAATTAAGCAATGCATGAATATATTTTAAATACTCATTAGGAGGAAATGAAACCTGAAAAATTGCAACCAACATAATCACAAATATTTATTTTGCTGACTCGTCTTATCTCTTTATATCGTGGGAGTGGAGAGACATTAAGTGCACAATAAGAATATATACATTGTTGCCTTCTCAACTTCATTTCACATTTTCAGCAGCCTTTCATCTTATTAAATCATAGCAAAAAAATTAATTTTTTATTAATACAGTGATCACTGATTTTGAGCTTCATTTGCCTGAAAACATGAATCAGAAGCAGTCGTGTAGAAAGGAGCTGATAATTAAGTAATGAATGCACAGGGCTGATTACTCCTTTGTGTGTCATTCCTGTGTTGTTGGAGGACAGAATATCAACCTCTTACAGAGAGGGAGAATATGTCTGTGGTTTTGGTGTGGAGACACCATGGGAAGTAAAAGATAGTAGAAAAGATAATGGCTGGAGAAAGGAGTTTTCTTATTGCTAGAAAAGTAACTTGCATTTGTAATAGGTAACTTACCTGAGTAACGTGTTGAACGTGAGCCCTGCGTGGCTCGGGGGGGGGGGGGGTATGTTTGGAGCTTTTCTCTTTTCCGTGCAACGCTTAATTGCTTTTCTTTTCATTAACAGCAGCAGCAGAAGCAGCACTCCTGCCAAGACTCAGGCCCCTCCTCCGCACATATCTCACCATCCCTCAGCCTCACCGTTCCCCCTCTCTTTACCCAGCCACAGCCCGCTGCATACCTTCACGCCCACCCTCCAGCCCCCCGCACACCCACATCACCCCAATATGTTTGCCCCTCCTACGGCTTTGCCTCCTCCACCTCCATTGACGTCAGGGACACTGCAGGTTCCAGGACACCCAGCTGGTAGTACTTACTCAGGTAAGAGACAGACGGATCATGGCCCGAGCGTGTCCAGTGCAGCGCAGGAAGCTGATTCTCCAGTTTTAGTCAGAACAATTCTTTTTGGTCCATTTGATGAGGGCTGATGAGGTCGGGCAGAGCCTGTACTGATTGCGGCATGATTCGGAGTAATATCAAAGCCGGAAAACACCTAGACATACCCAGTGACCTTTCTTCTGCCCTGGGGATGAATATTTTTGGAAGCGTGTGCTTTTTCCATGTCCGTTTTTTTCACCCCATGGTAAAAACACAATAGGGTTCATAATGTGGCCCCACAGAACGTGTGACCCCCTGAGCGAATGTCGTTGCTGTAGGTGTGGTCTGTGCTCAGCGTTGCTTCCCTGGCGAGAGGGAAGGTCTCCTGTGGCTGTGCACGCCGCGGTCCTGAGCTCGTGTACGTGCAAGATGTGGGGTGTGGGGGTGGGTGAGGTGTAGAGATCAGTGGAGAAAATTGTGCTCTTTTAGATTTTGACTCTGGGCGGATGTAAAGTGTTTGTTCCTCCCAGGTCACTAAGAGGGAACTGGGGGAAGAAAATGAAGGATTATCAGCGTTTGAGTAACGGCGTTTTGTGTCCATGCAGCCCGCTACTCGTGTTCGCAGCAGCCTCTCAGTGTTTACTCTGCCCAGCTTACCTGTCCCTCCCCACCTATTTAGGACAATGTCCATGTCCGTACAAGTTTCCCCTCAGATTAATGCTCAGAGAAATGCTGTAGTTAAGACAGGCCTGATGAGAGAGGGGAGATGGAGACTTTCTTCTGTCTCTGAGGCCTTTGGGGAAGATCTGAGGGAGCTTTCTTAGCCTGTACAGTGTCATGATTTACCACCAGGAAGTTTTACATACAGCATTGCTACTGCAGCCAGCAAAAATTGTGGCAATAGGTCTGGAAAAGTCCCTGAGCTCACGGAGGGTTGTTTTGCTGTTTGTATTTCAGAACAAGATCTTCTCCGTCAGGAACTAAACACGCGATTTTTGGCCTCACAGAGTGCAGATCGCGGGGCCTCCCTGGGCCCGCCGCCGTACCTGAGGACCGAGTTCCACCAGCACCAGCACCAGCACCAGCACACACACCAACACACACACCAGCACACCTTCACGCCTTTCCCTCACGCCATCCCACCCACTGCCATCATGCCAACGCCAGCACCGCCCATGGTGCGTACCCCAGGCAGAAATGTGAGGATAAGTAGAGCACAACTCTATTCTTTATTACAAAAATTTAAGAATTTTGCCAGGTTGCGGGAAGGAGTACTCTGGTGCCCAGGTGTGGTTGGGTAGGAGAGGAAGGACTGTCCCTTCCTCAGGATTGTCCCATGTGCAGTAGGTGCAGGTGGCAGCGCAGGGGCTGAGGGGAGAGGCTGCTGGCTGAAGGGACACTCATAAGTGGGATTTCCCAGTGCTTGGAGCAGTGCACTCTGGTGCCTTCTCCTTTTTGCTGTCTCGTAAAGACCTTGTTTTATCTTGAAGAAAGAAAAATCCCAAACAGTTTCTTTGGAAACTAATTTTCTGCTTTTTTTTTTCCTCTCTGTTGGTTGGCAAATAACGGAGAAGTAGTCTTCTATTTTACCAACAGAACTAAAGCAAGGAAATATAAAGTAACTAGTTTGTGCTTTGATCCCTTTGCAGTTTGACAAATACCCTACAAAAGTTGACCCCTTCTACCGTCACAGTGTGAGTTTTACTACTCTGTTTAAAACTGACTTAACTGCTTTTCTGTGGTGGGTTGGGATCACCACTCAGTCGATGGCACAGTGTCGAATCTCTTCCTAATCATCACTCCAGGATTTACCATTATCGTTCTTGGTTGCTTTGGCTTTTGAAGGCTTGCATTCACGGTGCTTGTTTCTGATAAAGATGCAGTATCAGCTTTTCCAATCAAAAGATCTCTTGCTCAACACTATTTGAAGACAGGTTTGATGTGAAAAAGATGAGACAGAAGAGCTGACTGTTACATGAAGCAGGAGAGAGCAGTAATTTCATCACTGTTTCAGTTGTGCCACAAACCCTTAGACTGATATTTTTCCTAAGAAAGTTGAAATGAAATGACAAACTATCATACAAATCCTTCAGGTATAGGTAATCTAATAGTTTTTCTAATATATTGTATTTTGGTTTATAAAATCTGAAAACTTGTCTTATTCTTCAGATTTCAAAGGCACATCTGATCCATTGGGCTTGTTATGGTAGAAAGCTCTGTTTGATGACAGCAAAATGAATCCAGCTATGCAATAGATATATTTGTCTAAGAGCTACCAAAAATGTTATTTATTGAGATGAACTGATTTTTAATATCTCAGTTAAATCGTAAAGTTTCTGCTCTTAAGGGGTTGAATCTACTGATTCATTTGCTGCTGAAATCTGGGTTGCATTTACTTCATCATATTGGCAGAAGCAGGTGTCTGGTTGAATATGACAAGAATTTCTAAATCCAGTAGTGATATTTTGATGAGAGAAGGAGTACTGCATCAGCACTCAGAAATTTGCAAAGCACTTGGCTTTATGTGTTGGTTTTGCTTAGAAGTGGAACTGGGCAAAAAAAACTGGTTAATATGATAGTGTGATGTTTTCTGCTTGTACCAATTAAACACAGTTCCTGCTAACAGCTCATGCCGGTGGTACATGTGAATAGTTGCATTAATTTCTGACACCTCATTTGAGTAATGCTAACTGTACAGTGTGTTTGCAGGATCAGAGCTCTAGGAGTATTGGGCAAACATTTAAGCCTGTGATAATCACTTTTACTCAAAAGGGTAGTGCTGCTCATTTGCATCATTGTTTGCAAAATTGCACTCCCATTTGCTGAGCTTTACGTGGTCAAAAGATACATTATTATCATCAATGTGGCATGTTGACTCAAGCAGGAACACGGAACTGAGAAATAGGGAAATGAATTTTAGACAAATAAAGCACAGAAGTCGGCATGTAATATTAGGAAACATTGCAAAAGTCTCCAACTGTACATGCTTTTCAAATTCAGTGACATAATCCCTTATAAATCTGGCAGTTACCTGAGTTGTAAAGGTCATGGTTGGTATTACTCCCTTTAAAGTAAGGAGAGGCTTCACGTTGCTCTGCGTTAGCCAGGGAGCCGTGCTATTGAACTTGGCAGAGCTCCACCAGCACACGTCTGGTCCATTATACCTCCCCTGCCCTCCCTTCAGGAATGGTTTGTCCTTGTGAAGTGATGGCAAAATAATCACTATTTCGTCTGTTGGATGTTTAGCAAACTAATATGAGAAGGTCAACATGATGGCTACAAATTGAGATCGGATTAACAGTCTTTCTTAAATTACAGCACAGCCATTCTAGCCAGGGTATTTCAGTAATCTCTTCCACTATGACTGTAGATACAGGTAACAGAGGAACTGCTTGCATCAGTTTCCTGAGCAGCTTCAGTGTCAAAAAGCATACTTTTGCTGCCATAAGTTCATACCCAGTAGTGCTTTTCCTATTGTAGAAATACTGTGAAACTATGGCACTTACACAGACCTTTTCCTAGTGACAGAGTTTCCGCTATAGATCCACACCAAGAATTCCGATATCTTGAAAAAAAGTTGGCAGTGTTTTTGAAGCTCGTAAGTGAACTTTGCAGGAGAACGAGGTCTGCTTGAGAGTTACAATCAATCTGCTTTAGAATAGGGAACACAGCTCACATAGACGTGCATGTAGAGATTTAGAACACTTTTCTTTGTTGGCATCTTTGATTTTACAATCATTTCCTTGGGGGGG